CTTTTGCCTGTAATCTTAGCTACTCAGGAGGCTGAGGCAGGAAGATCGCTTAAGCTAGGCATTTGAGACAGCAGTCAGCTATGATTGCACCACTGCACTCCAGCCTGGGCAACAGAGTGAGACCCTGTCTCTTAAATAAATAAATAAAATTTAAAAATAAAAAAAGAGGAAATTTAGACACACCAAGAGACACCAAGGATGTGGGCACACAGAGAAAGATTGTGTGAAGACACAGCAGGAAGAAATAAGGGCCAGGCACAGTGGTTCATGCCTGTAATCCCAACACTTTGGGAAGCCCAGGTGGGTGGATCACCTGAGGTCAGGAGTTCGAGACCACCCTGACCAACATGGAGAAACCCCATCTCTACTAAAAATACAAAATTAGCCAGGCGTGGTAGTGCATGCCTGTAATCCCAGCTACTCGGGAGGCTGAGGCAGAAGAATCGCTTGACAGGAGGTGGAGGTTGCAGTGATCCAAGATCACACCATTGCACTCCAGACTGGGAGACAAGAGCGAAACTCCATCTCAAAAGAAAAAATGAAAAGAAGAAATCAAACCTGCTACCTTGATCTTCCAAACAACCTGATACCTTGTTTTTTTGTTTATTGTTTGTTTTTGTTCTTTTGAGACGGAGTCTTACTCTGTTGTCCAGGCTGGAGTGCAGTGGTGCAATCACAGCTCACTGCAGTCTCGAACACACCAGGCTGGAGTGATGGGATCTTAGCTCACTGCAGCCTCTGCCTCCCTGCTTCAAGCAGTTCTCCTGCCTCAGCCTCCCTAGTAGCTGAGATTACTGGCATGTGCCAACTTGCCCAGCTAATTTTGTATTTTTAGTAAAGACAGGGTTTCACCATGTCGACCAGGCTGGTCCTGAACTCCTGACCTCAGGCAATCTGCTCATTTAGGCCTCCCAAAGTGCTAGGATTACAGGTGTGAGCCACTGTGCCCAGCCAACACCTAATACCTTGATCTAAGACTTCTAGCCCTTAGAACTGTGAGAAAAAACAATTTCTATTGTTGTAGGTAGTCTGTGGTGTTTGTTATGGCAGCCCTAGCAGACTTATACATATATCTATTCTTATGCTTAATTTATTACCACCATTAGGTTTTTGTTTATTTGTTTTTGAGATAGGGTCTCTGTTGTCCAGGCTGGAGTACAGTGGAACAATCATGGTTCACTGTAGCCTCAGACTCCTCAGGCTCAGGTGATCCTGCCACTTGAGCCTCCTGTGTAGCTGGGACTACAGGTGTGTGCTACCACCACTAAGACCCGCTAATTTTCTTTTTTCTTTTCTTTATTTTTTTGAGGCAAGCTCTCGCCAGGCTGGTCTGACTTCTGACCTCAAGTGATCCACCAGCCTCAGCCTCCCAAAGTGCTGAGACGACAGGCATGAGCCACTGTGCCCATTCGTATTTTAAAAAACCTTTACCTCACTACCTAACTGTCCTTTGGGTGCAGCTGGGACCTGGATGAAAGAGCTTGTCCTTGCTGTTATATAAGAATGCAATGACACCAACCCGGGACCCAGGACTGGTCCTCTCAGGGCCCATCCACCCACGAGCACATCCACCCATTATTTCATTTAGTAAAAATCCAGCAAACATCTATCGTGCATTGGAGCTGTATAGAACCATCAGGGTAAGTACATTGAAGTCGGGCTGCTTGGCCGTGCTTCCTAATTTGACCCCCGTGTTACTGTGAGACCTAGGGCAAGCGAGTTATCCTCCCTGTGCTCTCTGATCTCAAGAACGGTGGTAAGATCACACATCTCACTGTATAAGGCCAGGGCCAGCAGGTGCAGGTAAACTGCTCAGTTGCTTTTCTGAATATGCAAAGATTGACGAGAAGCAAGAGCAGAGTCATGTTTTGACTTACACAGTTTTTTTGGTTTTTTTTTTTTTTTTGAGACAGAATCTTGCTCTGTTGCCCAGGTTGGAGTGCAGTGGTGGGATCTCGACTCACTGCAACCTCTACCTGCTGGGTTCAAGCAATTCTCCTGCCTCAGCCTCCCGAGTAGCTGGGATTACAGGTACGCACCACCATACCAGGCTAATTTTTGTATTTTTAATAGAGACAGGGATTTCACCATATTGGTCAGGCTGGTCTTGAACTCCTGACCTCAAGTGATCTGCCTGCCTTGGCCTCCCAAAGTGCTGGAATTACAGGCATGAGCCACTGCACCCAGCATGTTTTCATCATATGATTTTATTATAAACCTTCCAACAAGCCCTGTGACATAGATATTACTATCCCTGTTTTGTCAAGTGAAATGAAGTTCAGAGAGGTCACCTGACAACAGCCGCAGAGCCGCTGAATCTCAGAGCTGAGGTCCAAACCCAGGTCTTCTGACCTGTAAGCCCCCACCTCTTTCTTCCGCCATGGTGGTGTCATTTTTTTCCCTGAGCCCTTAGTGTACGGCAGACATTTCCATGTAATCCTCACAAGAACACAGCTTTCACACTCTAGGAGTGAAGAACTCTGACATGGATACACATGTTTAGACCAGACAGTGGGATAAACTGGCAAGTTACTGGAGGTCTTACTGGAAAGGTGGGTCAGAGGGAAATGCCCTCTAAAAGAATGGGAGGAACCGAGGTAAGGGTTTTTTGTGAGACCCTTTACGATTGCCTTTAGGTCCTAATATCATTACGTCTCATTTATAGTTGAAGAAAAGGAGGCTCAAAGTGGGCAACATGGTCCAGGCACACAGAAGAACACTGAGCTGGCTGTGTGTGGTGGCTCACACCTGTCATCTCAGCTTAGAAGGCCGAGGTGGGAGGAGCACTGGAGGTCACAAGTTTGAGACCAGCCTGACCAATATGGTGAAACCCCATCTCTACTACAAATACAAAAATTGGCCCAGCGTGGTGGCAGGCACCTGTAATTCCAGCTACTCGGGAGGCTGAGGCAGGAAGATAGCTTGAACCCAGGAGGCAGAGGTTGCAGTGAGCTGAGATTACGCCATTGCACTCCAGCCTGGTCAGCAGAGCGAGACTCCGTTTCAAAAGAAAAAAAAAAGGGGATGAGCTGCATTTTATTTTAAGATGGAGTCTCATTCTGTCACCCAGGCTGGAGTGCAGTGGCATGATCTCAGTTCGGCATGAACCACCACGCCCAGCTAGTTTTTTTGTATTTTTAGTAGAGATGGGGTTTCACCACGTTGGCCAGGATGGTCTCAATCTCCCGACCTCAGGTGATCTGCCCGCATCAGCCCAAAGTGCTGGGATTACAGGCGTGAGCCACCGCACCAGGCCAAGGAGCTGCACTTTGAATCTAGTTTCAACTCAGACATGTAGCATCCTCCTCTGCGTCAGGTCTTCTCAGCTCCGGCTGCACACAACCAGGCACATTTTTTTATTTTTTTATTTTTGAGACAAGGGCTCTCTCCATTGCCCAGGCTGGAGTGCAGTGATGCTATCACAGCTCACTGCAGCCTCAGCCTCCCAGACTCAAGTGATCCTCCCACCTCACCCTCCCAAGTAGCTAGGACTACAGGCTTGCACCACTATGCCCAGCTAATTTTATTTTATTTTTTTGGTAGAGATGGAGCCTCAATATGTTGCTTAGGCTGGCCTTGAATTCCTGGGCTCAAGTGATCCTCCCACCTTGGCCTCCGAAAGTGCTAGGATTATAGGTGTGAGTCACTACACCTGGCCAACATTTAAAAAATAACAAAAACGGCCAGTCATGGCGGCTCAAGCCTGTAATCCCAGCACTTTGGGAGGCCGAGGCGGGTGGATCACAAGGTCAAGAGATCGAGACCATACTGGTCAACATGGTGAAACCCCGTCTCTACTAAAAATACAAAAAAATTAGCTGGGCGTGATGGCGTGTGCCTGTAATCCTAGCTACTCAGGAGGCTGAGGCAGGAGAATTGCCTGAACCCAGGAGGCGGAGGTTTCGGTGAGCCGAGATCACGCCAGTGCACTCCAGCCTGGGTAACAAGAGCGAAACTCCGTCTCAAAAAAATAAATAAATAAATAAAAATAACAAAAACAAAAAACTGATGGCGGAGATCTGCCTTCAGAGATTCTGAATTAGTGACTCTGGAGTGAGGCCCAGAACTGGTGTGGTTAGGACTCGGAACCAGGTGATTCCAATATGTGCCAAAAGCACGGTTGACCACACAGCTGTCAGAAAGGAATGCCCCAAAATGCTGGCACATGGTCTCAGCCCAGACTGGACCATCATCATTCTCTGCTGGGTTGCATAAAGGCAATGCCACGGCCTTTTCTTACTCTACCCACAGATCAAATGACTGGTTCTTTCTTTAAGCGAAATACGTTACGATGAGTTCATTAACTTCAATCAGTGCATATAGCAAGTTGAATATGAATTTCAGGCAATGGCCACACAGCGAGATACAGGAATAACAGAAGCTCAGATCAAATACAGGCATTGTTTTGCCTTCTTGATAGGCTAGGAAGTTGAAATGAAGTTTCTTTTTTACTATTCTTTTTATTTATTTATTTTTGAGAGTCTCACTCTGTTGCCTAGGCTGGAGTGCAGTGATGCCATCTCAGCTCACTGCAATGTCCACCTCCTGGGTTCAAGTGATTCTCCTGCCTCAGCATCCCGAGTAGCTGGGATTAGAGGCACCCACCACCATGCCTAGCCAATTTTTGTATTTTTAGTAGAGAAGGCGTTTCGCCGTGCTGGCCAGGCTGGTCTTGAACTCCTAACCTCAAGTGATCTGCTCACCATGGCCTCCCAAAGTGCTGGGATTACAGGCCTGAGCCTCTGCTCCTGGCCAGTCTGTTTTACTGTTTAGTTCCTGAGAAAAGCCTTTGGTTCCCATCATTATTTTTTAAAAATGGGTACGTGAACCATTTTGTGTCTCCTTCTTCCACAAAGAAAATAATGAATTAAGTTGCTCTTTATGTATGATTATTAGAGGGGAGCATTGGAGCCTTTACTCAAAACAAAACAAAACATAAAGCCTTTCTCGTCTCTGAGAAGCGGTTCCCTGCTTCACAGCAGACATGCACGTGATTGCTGATCTCAGCTCAAGGCTCTCCTATTCCCAGCATCTCTGATGGCCCTGACTGCCTGTCTTCTTCTTCTGATCATAGACATCTCCGGCTCTTGAATTACATGGCAAGAGGCACTGAATTTTCTCTGCTTCTTGAGAACCCAGCCCGAAGCAGTCTTTTTTTGGTTAAGCCAAAAGTGAAACTGGAGAGGGAAAGCCAAGGGTACAATAAGAGGATTAAAGATTAGCTAAGACACATGGCTTGGGAATTAACCTTTAACTAAACATCTTATAAATAATGCCTGTGCAGCTTCCCCTGTGAATGTAAAGAGATCCCAGGCTCTTGGAGAGGAAGAAGCCATCGCCAGTCAAAAAGGAAAAAGCAAAGGCAAGACACAATCAGCATCAGGAGAGAAAGACATGTGAAGGAGGGAAGGAGCAGGAGAACAGCAAGGAAACGCAGGAGGAGGGAGCAGCAGCTGCTTTCAACACAGAGAAGCATCTGTTCGTTGTTAAAATCAGTCTCCATCTGCACCCTGAGCAATGGAAGTAATATATGGCAGGAACAGGAAAGAACAGCTGGAGCCTGTGAGGGCCAAAGTGACAGGTGAGCATTCTCTATAAACAAGGGGCTCTTTCTTCTGTTTATTATTTTTTTGAGATGGAGTCTCACTCTGTTGCCCAGGCTGGTGTGCAGTGGCGCGATCTCGGCTCACTGCAACCTCCACCTCCCAGGTTCAAACGATCCTCCTATCTCAGCCTCCCAACTAACTGAGATTACAGGCACCCACCACCACACCTGGCTAATTTGTGTATTTTTAGTAGAGACGGGGTTTCAGCATGTTGGCCAGGCTAGTCTTGAACTCCTAGTCTCAAGAGATCTGCCTCCTTGGCCTCCAAAAGTGCTATGATTACAGGGGTGAGCCACTGCACACAGCCTTTTCTCTATGTTAAGATGGACACTTTTTTCCCCGATTATATACGTAGTACTAGTTGTACATTACTTTTGGAAATCCGGAAAATAGTGTAGAGAGAGAAAATGACTCATAATCCAGATACATTTTCTGTGAAAATCTAGCTGTGTTTTACACATTATAACTCAGTTTCCAGAAGGAGGAGAGTCAGTCTCACTATTCCCAGGAAAAAAGTGTCGGAATGCCACGGTGGGTACACATACAATGGGATTAATCTGCAAACGGCTGCCAGTGTCAGCTGCATCACGTGTTTGTGCAAATGCGTGCATTCTAAATTAGTCTCAAAATGCTCAGGGGGCTGTGCATGAGCTCCCACGCACCCACATCCGCCACACAGGCTTGCAGGGGATTGCAGTCCGATGTGATTTTAGGAACTCACAGGTGTGAGCACCTGCAGCGCCTGTAGGAGTTGGACCTTCTTCCTTTAGAGGGCCTGTGTCTTGCTTCGTTGTTTCTATCTCTTGCTTTTCCTTCCTCTTTTGGGTTCCCACTTTCCTAGGACCATTTTGTTTGGACTCTAAAAGGCAGTTCCTGCTTCTGGACTCCCTGGTGCCCAGGGTGGTGCCCGCTCAGTTTTAAGAACGGTTGAGTCAGCTCAGGCCCGCAGCTATTTTCGTTTTCTGATAGATGGACTGGAATTTTTCATGAGGAGAGGACAATTGTGAGTGGTTTTTGTAAGGACATCAGATTGAAGCTTTGCAACTGAGCGATTGCCTTGAGAGTTTTTGAAAGAAAATAAATAGCTTTTATGTATACTTTTTCCTGGTTGCAAAGGTAAGGCACAATCTATAGCTATCAATCTATATATACATATACAGCTGGATGTATATTAAATTATATATAAATTAGGAGTGCAAATGAGAACATGGAAAATCAGCTCGATTTCCAATCTTTTGAACACTATTGATATTTGGGTCTATTTCCTTTAAATTTTGAAAACATAGGTAGATCAATTGAGAAATTTACTGTATTTATAAATATTTTTTTCAAAAAGCAAATGTATATGATTAGATTCTTATTTATTTATTCTTTTCTCAATCTGGCTGTTCATGCATATATTTTTATTTTTAAAAAAGGACATCACAGGGCCAGGCACGGTGGCTCATGCCTGTAATCCCAACACTTTGGGAGGCCAAGGCAGGTGGATCACTGGAAGCCAGGAGTTTGGGACCAGCCTGGACAGTATGGCAAAACTCCATCTCTACTAAAAATTTACAAATTAGCCGGGCTTGTAGTCCTGGCTACTCAGGAAGCTGAGGTAGAAGAATTGCTTGAACCCGGGAGGCAGAGGTTGCAGTGAGCTGAGGTCTTGCCACTGCATTCTGGTCTGGGTGACAGAGTGAGACCCTGTCTTAAGAAACACACACACACACACACACACACCCCCCAACAGGCATTCCAGCTTGGCCAAGAAGGTATGGTGAAATCCCGTTTCTACTAGTTGATAGGTGCAAAAATAATTGCAGCTTTCGCCATTATTTTCAATGTGTTTTATTTGAAATTTTATTTTCAATAAAAATATAAAAATTAGCCAGATGTGATGGTGCACATCTGTAAACCAGCTCCTCAGGAGACTGGGCATGAGACTTGAACCCAGGAGGGGGAGGTTGCAGTAAGCCAAGTTCATGCCACTGCGTTCCAGCCTTTTGAGACTCTGTCTCAAAAACAAAACAAAAAAAAAGGAGACCTCTACCTTCTTGTGCCCTGGAGTGTTATGAACATTTTGTACCATTAACTCCTCATGTTTAATGATTGCATGGAATCCTTGGAAATGTTAGAAATTTTAGAGCATGAGAGGCTGAATGACCCCCAAAGATAAGGTACAGCAGCAGTTCTCAAAGGGGCATCCTGGACCTGCAGCATGATAAGCACCACTTGGGCACTGCGTAGAAATAAACACCCTTGACACCCACCCAGACCCACGGGATGAGACACTCGGGGTGGAGCTCACAAGCTGTATGTTCACAAGCCCTCGGTGACTCCAAGGGTGAGAACCATTCCTCTACATCAAGCCTCCCTATTGACAGGTGGGAAACTGAGGCAGAGGGGCAGTGACTGCCAGGACAGCCTGCAGAGAACAGCCTCCTGACCCTCCATCCAGGCCTGGGTTGAGCCTGATCAGTTGGTCACACCCATGGGCAGACAGCTAGCTAAAAACTGTGCCTGGGTTGGCACGTCCACGCAGGGAGGACATGAAAGGTTCTGGCTTTGTAACTGGCTGTGCCAATCCATGTGTGTTCTGAGACCTCTTTGGCGACTTATGTAAGCATCTCCTGCCTCAGTGTTCTTTTCTGTTAGACGAAGTTAGCCTGGTGCCTCCCACATAGGGCTGCTGCAGTGATTAAGTGATTTAATCCGCCTAGAACGCAGCGTCTGGTATATGGATGTGTATAAATTTTCTTGTCCTGTCTGGGGCTTTAATTACATTCTCAGATGCCTCTCTCCCTGCTCTGTCTCAAGCCTGCTCCCTCTCCTGTGCCCTGGGTGCCTGTGCCTGGTGCCATGATCCATGTAGGTGCCCAAGGCAAGAGACTTGCTGTCTTTTTTTTTTGAGATGGAGTCTCGCTCTGTTGCCCAGGCTGGAATGCTATGACGTAGTCTCGGCTCACTCCAACCTCCAGCTCCCAGGTTCAAGCAATTCTCCTGCCTCAGCTTCCCAAGTAGCTGGGATTACAGGCGCCCGCCACCACACCTGGCTAATATTTGCATTTTTAGTAGAGATGGGGTTTCACCATGTTGGCCATGAACTGGTCTTGAACTCCTGGACTCAAGTGATCCACCCACCTCAGCCTCCCATAATGCTGGGATTACAGGCATGAACCACCGCACCTGGCCTCGGCTGTCATTTTCATTTCTCAGTGCTCCACTCCACATTCCCTTATATTTAGTCAAATAGAGGCCCATCAGTTCTGTGTCTTCCATTTATCTTTGTTCATCCATTTCTCTCCAGCCCTCTGGAATCCCTGAGTCCTCTCTCTGGTCTTCCTGCCTCTCTCAGGGGCTTTCCCAGTCCACACTCCACACCACGGGCAGAGACAACCTTCGAAGATCTAAGATCCTATTCCATCTATATCAGGGGTCCCCGACCCTCGAGCCATGGCCAGTACCGGTCAGTGGCCTGTTTGGAACCAGGCCACGCAGCATTACTGCCTGAGCTCTGCTCCTCTCAGAGCGGTGGCATTAGACCCTCAGAGGGATGCAAACCATACTGTGAGCATGAACCCTGTTGTGGACTGTGCGTGTGAGAGGTCTAGATTGTCTGCTCCTTATGACAATCCACCCCCCAGCCCCACCATGCATGGAAAAATTATCTTCCACAAAACCAGTTCCTGATGCCGGAAAGACTGGGGCCACTGATTTATGTGGAATCCAGAACAGGCATATCCATAGGGACAGAAAGTAGATGAGTGCCTGCCACAGCCTACTGTGAGGGTAAGGGGGGAAGAGGGAGTGATGGCTAAAGCATGCGGGGGCTGTCTTTTTGGAGTAATGGAATGTTCTGGAATTAGGTGAAGGTTGCACAACATTGTGAATACAGTAGAAACTACTGAATTATGTGCTTTAAAATTATGAGTTCTACCTCAATTTTTTTTAGCTGCAGAAAAAAATCTGGTCCTGTGTTTTCCTATTATAACCATCAAAGGTGCCCCATTCTTCTGAGGGTTAGATCAGAACCTTAGTGTGGTCCTGTTGACCTTCATGCTCTGGCCCCTGTTATTTCTGCAGCTTCATTGATCACAATTTTCTTGCTTGAAAATGATGGTCCAGTCTTACTAAACAGCTTGCCAATTTCCTGGTCTTGGTCATTTTTTGTTTATTTTTTTTGAGACAGAGTCTTGCTCTGTCGTTGAGGCTGGAGTGCAGTGGCATGATCTGAGCTCTCTGCAACCTCCACCTCCCAGGTTCAAACATTTCTCCTGCTTCAGCCTCCAGAGCAGCTGGGATTACAGGCACCTGTCATCACACCTGGCTAATTTTTGCATTTTTGGTAGAGGCGGGGTTTCATCATGTTGGCCAGGCTGGTCTCGAACTCCTGACCACAAATAATCTGCCCACCTCGCCTCCCGAAGTGCTGGTATTACAGATATGCCTCACCATGCCCAGCCTCCTGTTCTTGATCTTCTGGGTCTGGGTTCCTTCAGAGGCAAGAATTCAAGGGTAAGTGGTTTATTTGGCACGTGATCCCAAGAAACATCACAAGGAACTCAGGGAAAAAGAAGGAAACCAATAAAGAGTGCATTGTTAAGCCATTGGTTGATGAGGCCATTGGAGCTGACTCCCCTGGGTCTGGTGTAAAAAATGCCTCTTGTGATCCTAATTGAGGGCAAGGCAACGGCAGGATTTGTCCCCCAGCTCCACATCCCTCACTGGGATGAGCGTGGCTTCCAGGGGCATGACCTTTCTGAGGTGCTTCCAGTTCTTCCTGCATGTAGGCAAAGCCTGCCCACTACCCAGCAGTCACAACCAAGCCCTCAGGCAGCGAGTTACAGGCATTTACACAAAGCAGCCTGCAGGGAGAGAGAAATGCTGTGGGGACTTGGGTGAGGGCACCAACAGCATTTGCTACAGCACCCTGTCTCTAGAGCAGGGCTGTCCCCTAGAAACAGAACCCATGCCACATGTGCACTTTGAAATTTTCTAGTAGAAACACTCAAAAAAGTAAAAGGAAACAGGTGAAATTAATTTCAATGGTATATTTTACTTAACATGAGAAATCCAATATATTATCAGTTCAACATGAAATCAGTATTTTAAAAATTGCTAATGACATGGTTCACTTTTGTTCATACTAAATCTTCGAAATCTGCTGTATATTTCATTCTTACAGTGCATGTCATTTCAGACCAGCCACATTTCAAGTGCTGATTGCTACCATATTGGACAGTGCAGCTCTAGAATCTTTTTTGCTTCTGCCTTTGTGAGGCAAACACCTACTCTCCCTCAAGACTTAGCCAGGTTGCCTCCTCCAGGAAGCCGTCCACACCCTCCTGCTCTCAGCCCACCCTGGGGTGGGGCTCTGTTTCACACAGTTCCTTTGCTGTGACTATAGCATTGCCCCTGTCTTTTAATTTTTTTTAATTTTTTTGAGACAAAGTCTTGATATGTTGCTCATGCTGGAGTGGAGTGGTGTAATCACTGCAGACTCGAGCTCCCAGACTCAGTGATCCTCCTACCTCAATCTCCCAAGCAGCTGGTACTACAGGCATATGCAGCCACACGAGATATGTTTTTATGTTGTTATGTTTTGTTTTGTTTTGTTTGAGATGGAGTTTCACTCTTGTTGCCCAGGCTGGAGTGGAATGGCGAGATCTCAGCTCACTGTAACCTCCATCTCCCAGGTTCAAGCAGTTCTCCTGCCTCAGCCTCCTGAGTATCTGGGGTTACAGGTTTGCATTACCATGCCTGGCTAAGTTTTTCTATTTTCAGTAGAAATGGAGTTTCACCATGTTAACCAGGCTGGTCTTGAACTTCTGACCTCAGCTGATCCATCCCCCTCAGCGTCCCGAAGTGCTGGGATTACAGGCGAGAGCCACTGCACCCGGCCTGGAGCTACGTTTTCTATTTTTTGTAGAGACACTCTCACTTTGTTGCCCAGGCTAGTCTCTATCTCCTTGCTTCAAGTGATCCTCCTATCTCAGCTTCCCAAAGTGCTGGGATTACAGGTGTGAGCCAACGCCCTCAACCAGCATTGCCTTAACCACAGTGGATCTTGGGTGTCTGTCTATTCATCAGTGGGCAATTTGAGGTCAGAGACAGTATCTTCATCTTGGTATCCTCGGTGCTAGCCAACTGCCTGTCATATTACACACTTTTTGGAAACAATTATAGAATAAATGAACAGATGCAAGGCGTGCTATTGAGGCTACAAGCCTCCAGTTCCTTTCCATGACCATTTCTTCCAGCTTTTTGGTTTGCAGGTGGAAACAGGAAATTAAACATTCTTTCTTTTAACAGGCACGATTCCAGCATGGCTGCAGGGAACCCTGCTCCGCAACGGGCCTGGAATGCACACGGTGGGGGAGTCCCGGTATAACCATTGGTTTGACGGCCTTGCCCTGCTCCACAGCTTCACCATCAGAGACGGTGAGAGCGCCCACGAGTGTGCTGCCCGGGCCGCAGCAAAAGACCGCAAACTCACTGCCTTAAAATAGCACAAATGCGTTCTTTTAGGTACTGGAGGTCAGAACTGTAAATCAGGTCTCACTGAACTAAAATTGAGGTGTTCACAGAGCCACATTCAGTTCTGGAGGCTCTAGGGGAGAATTCTGTGTTCCTACCTTTTCTTTCTTCTACAAGCTGCATTCTTTGGCTCGTGGCTTCATCTCTGTATTTTTTTTTTTTTTTATGGAGTCTTGCTCTATCACCAGGTTGGAGTGCAGGGGCGTGATCTTGGCTCACAGCAACCCCTGCCTCCCAGGTTCAAGCGATTCCCCTGCCTCAGCCTCCCAAGTAGCTGGGATTACAGGCATGTGCCACCAAGCCTGGCTAATTTTTTGTATTTTTAGTAGAGACAGGGTTTCACCATGTTGGCCAGGATGGTGTCAATCTCCTGACCTCACAATTTGCCCACCTCAGCCTCTCAAAGTGCTGGGATTACAGGCTTGAACCACTGCGACTGGCATCCATCTCTGTCTTTGAAGCAGCAGCAGAGTATCCTGCAATCTCTGCTTCTTCCATCCTCACATCATCTCCTCTGACTCTGACCAGCCTGCCTCCCTCTTATAAGGACCCTTGTGATTACTTTGAGTCCACTCAGATAATCCCTGGATAATCTCCCATCTTAAAATCCTTAATCACATCTACAAAATCCATTTTGCTATGTCAAGTCACATATTCAACAGGTTCTAGAGATTTGGAGGTGGAGATATTTATGGGGGATGTATTATTCAGTCAATCACAAGCACAGACTTTCCTGAAAAGAAGGCCAAGTTTCTTTTTTAGAGAGTCCATCTTGCAAAATAATATGTATCCTTAATCGTGTGGCAAAAGCAGGGTGGAAGAGTAATGGAATCAGACATGCCTAAAGTTGAAACATGAAATGGACAGAGCTGGTGGCTGGGCATGGTGGCTCATGCCTTTAATTCCAGCACTTTGGGAGGCCAAGGCAGGCAGATCACTTGAGATCAGGAGTTTGAGACCAACCTGGCTGACATAGCAAAACCCCATCTCTACTAAAAATACAAAAATTAGCCAGGCATAGTGACACACGCCTGTACTCCCAGCTGTTAGGGAGGCTGAGGCACGAGACTCACTTGAACCCAGGAGGCAGAGGTTGCAGTGAGCTGAAATTGCACCACTGTACCCCAGCCTGGGAAACAGAGCAAGAGTTTGTCTCAAAGAAAAGTACAGAGCTGGAAAAAACAAAGCTGTATATATTGCTCATTAAGCAAGAGAGAGCCAGACCACTTAAAAAGCGGAGGAGTTTCCCTGAGTAGAAAGTAAAATGGCTGAATATAGGCACCACAATTAAGGTGAATTCTGCTTTCAGGTGTCTGGCTGGAGAGATGGAATGTAAATTCTTTGCTGTTGGCCATTGAGCCGGTTTATGCCACAGAAGCATGAGCTGTGTTCTTAAAGAGGTCCGGGATGGATTTAGCAGGCTCCAGGTCACACAGTGGACAGATTTGTGTCCAAATGCTCCAGGCTTTGCAAAACTTTTCTTTACCTCCTGTGTTCTAATGTGGCCCTATCTCAAGGTTTGAAATTGTCCACCAAAGAAAGTTAAAAATAAAAACAAATTAGCCAGGCGTGGTGGCATACACCTGTAGTCCCAGGTCCTTGAGAGGCTGAGGCAGGATAATCGCTTGAATGCAGGAGGCAGGGCTTGCAGTGAGCTGAGATTGTGCCTGAGTGACAGAGGGAGACTTTAGAGAAGAAAACAAAATAAAATGAAGGGAGACCGTGAAGACCTGCTATTTCGTCCTCCAGTCCTCAGGAGGTTGTGTTCCTAAGAGGCAGACAATCATCTACCCTTTATGCAAACATCTTTTCCGGGGTGGTTACCGTGTGAAAAAGTGTCCCTGAGGTGTTTCTTTCTTCTTTCTTTGTGAGACAGGGTTTTGCTCTATCACCAGGCTAAGTGCAGTGGTGTAATTACGGCTGACTGAAGCCTCAGTCTTGCAGGCATAAGTGATCCTCCCACCTCAGTTCCCCAAGTAGCTGGGACTACAGGTGCATGCTACCATGCCTGGCTAATTTTTTATTTTTTGTAGAGATGGGATCTTGCTATATTGCCCAGGCTGGTCTTGAACACCTGGACTCAAGTGATCCTCCCACCTTGGCCTCCTTATAAAGTGCTGGCATTATAAGCATGAACCACCTTGCCCAGCCTTACTGAGATATTTCTGTCGGAGGACATTTATTCCTGGGCAGCAGGAAGAAATATGGAGAAATGGTTAGAAGCGTGACCTTTGGAGTTGACCAGGTGCTGAGTTCATGCTTTCAACCAGTATTTATTAAGTGCCCTGATGGGCCAGGAGTGAAAATACAACCATGAGCAGAATGGCCAGGATTCTCGTTGCTAAGGAGGTTCAGTCTCCACATGGATATGAATCCTGTCTTCATCATGTACCAGCCGTGCACTTGACCTTGGTCAGAGTCAAGAATCTGTCCCCTCCACTGTGACATGAGGATAGTGACACATTCCTTGCAGAGTCGCGTGACATTTGAGGCTTGCAAAGCACTGTGCACATAGTAGGTGCTTAAGAAAAGCTGCATAGAGTATTGCATACTGCATACAGTAGACAGTGATCGAGGCTGTGGCTCTAGGGTTCATCTCGTCCAAGTTGGGTGACCTTGGGCAGGTCTCCTCATCTCATTGAGCCTCAGTCTCCTTGATTGGAAGCTGGGAAGCACATAGTCTTCCTCGTCTAGCTGGCCAGTTTTATTTTTATTTTTTATTTTTGAGATGACAACTTGCTCCATCGCCCAGGCTGGAGTGCAGTGGTGCAATCTCGGCTCACTGCAACCTCTGCCTCCGGGGTTCAAGCAATTCTCCTGCCTCAGAATCCTGAGGAGCTGGGATTACAGATGCCTGCCACCACACCCAGCTAACTTTTGTATTTTTAGTAGAGGGGGGTTTCACCATGTTGGCCAGGAATGTCTCAAACTCCTGACCTCAAGTGGTGAAGTGGGCAGTTTTAAATGAGATGAGATGATGTAAGGTGTTTGGTGCATTGACTTACAGCACACATTTCATAAACAAAGGTTGTTGAAACTGGATTGTCCAAGAAAATCCTGTTGGCAGGCAGACTCACCTGAGGGCCAGCAAGTCCACACGTACGCAATGGTCTTCGGCTACACGCTATACGGAGGCAGAGACACACTTAGGGCCACCCTGACCTCCCGCTTCATCCAGCCTGTCTTTCGCTGGTTACTCTTGCTGGGAGTCACCACCCACAAGGCATTGACTGAGGTGTTCGGCCTGAAATGTTGAATTCTGTTGATTTGAAATATCGGCCATGCATGATAGCTCACACCTATAATTCCAGCACTTTGAGAGGCCAAGGTGGGTGGATCACTTGAGGTCAGGAGTTTGAGAACAGCCTGGCCAACATGACGAAACCCCGTCTCTGCTAAACATACAAAAATGAGCCAGGTGTGGGGGTGGGCATCTGTAATCCCAGCTACTTGGGAGGCTGAGGCAGGAGAATTGAGTCTGGAAGGTGGAGGTTGCAATCAGCTGAGATCACGCCACTACAATCCAGCCTCTGTGACAGAGCGAGACTCCATCTCCAAAAAAAAAAAAAAAAGAAAAGAAATATAAACACCCAGGCTGGGTTATGGACAGGCTGCACATTTCCTATAAACATTCAGCTTCAGAGTGTGGAGTGCCTGGTGACCACAGGAAAATCTGTGTCTGGAATTTCTCAAGACTGACCCTGAGGCAGAGATTAAAGAAGGAGCCACCATGCATTCCCCACCAGCATGCTTTTGGGAGAGCCAATTAGCTGCATTCCTTCTGAAGAAACATACGGAAACAGACGTGCTCCCGCCTGGAATCTTCTAGAACTAGGTCAAGTTTGATATTTTGGGGAAGAAGGGAAGTTATATATACATACTTATAATTATGTATATATAAAGCAAACTTTCTTTTTTTTTTGAGACGGAGTTTTACTCTTGTTACCCAGGCTGGAGTGCAATGGCGCGGTCTCAGCTCACCGCAAGCTCTGCCTCCTGGGTTCAAGCAATTCTCCTGCCTCAGCCTCCCGAATAGCTGGGATTACAGGCATGCACCACCATGCCCAGCTAATTTTTTGTATTTTTAGTAGAGACGGGGTTTTACTATGTTGACCAGGATGGTCTCGATCTCTTGACCTCGTGATCCACCCGCCTCGGCCTCCCAGTAAAGCAAACTTTCTAATGTTCAGATCATGGTGAGACAATGACTTTGCCTCTTATCAGAAAATTAACAAATACTGTTAATGAGGGGACTTGGAATCACTCATCTCTATGCCTGCTTTGTAAAAACTTTGTACTTTGAGGTAAGTTTAGATGTACAGAAAGGAGTGTTCTTGTACCCTTCATCCAGCTTCTTCCTCTGTACTCTGCTTTTTTTTTTTTGTTCAAATTTTTGTTATTTTTTAAATGTTTTCCTTTTTTTAATTAATTTTTTTTTTTTTTTTTTTTTTTTTTTTGAGATGAAATCTGGCTCTGTCACCCAGGCTGGAGTGCAGTGGCATGATCTCGGCTCACTGCAGCCTCTGCCTGCCAGGTTCAAGTGATTCTCCTGCCTCAGTCTCCTGAGTAGCTGGGATTACAGGCGTGCACCACCAGGCCTGGCTCATTTTTGTATTTTCAGTAGAGATGGGGTTTCAGCATGTTTGTCAGGTTGGTCTTGAACTCCTGACGTCGTGATCCTCCCGCCTTGGCCTCCCAAAGTGCTGGGATTACAGACGTGAGCCACCACGCCTGGATATTTTTTAATTTTTTTAAGATCAGGTCTTATTTTGTCACAGGATGGAGTGCAGTGGCTAATCTTGGCTCACTGCAGCCTCTGCCTCCCAGGTTTAAGTAATCCTCCTGCCGCAGTCTCCTAAAATACTAGGACTACAGGTGCACACCACCATGCCTGGCTAATTTTTTGATTTTTTGGTAAAGACTGGGTCTCACTATGTTACCCAGGCTTGTCTTAAACTCATGGGCTCCAGTGATCCTCCCACCTCAGCCTCCCAAAGCGCTGGGATTATAGGCATGAACCACAACCTCTAGACCCCTCTGTTGTTCTTTTTTTTTTTTTTCTTTTTCGAGCATTAACTTCTACTGGCCTCTGCTGAAGGCCACAAGCTATCTTCTGCCTTTTTGTTTCTTACTCTGAAGTCTTTTCTCTAAGTTAGATGTTCAGTCTTAAGTACCTAATCTGTATCTACACTAGAATCACCTGGAGGCTCTAAAAAAAATTACAGAAGGCTGTTCACTAGCCCATGTTCTTCTGATCATTAGTATTAATAACTTGGTCTTGGTGAGGCCTGGGCAGCCAGGCTGAGGCCCATTCTGGAGGGACTGTCAAACCTCAGAGGGCTCGGGGTCAGCTGGGAAGCATGTGAGAAGCACCAACGCTATCTCTGCCCTTAAGGACCATGATGTGCTCAAGCCCTGTGCAGGTTTCAGGATTCAAAGCTTTACTGAACGGCCAAGTGCAGTGGCTCACGCTTGTAATCCCAGCATTTTGGAAGGTCCAGGCAGGTGGATCACCTGAGGTCAAGTGTTCGAGACCAACCTGGCCAACATGGTGAGACCCTATCTCTACTAAAAATACAAAAATTAGTTGAGCATGGTGGCTCATACCTCTAGTCCTACCTACTCAGGAGGCTGAGACATGAAAACTGCTTGAACCTGGGAGGCAGAGGCTGCAGTGAGCTGAGATTGTGCCACTGCACTCCACCCTGGGTGACAGAGCAAGAGCAAGACTCCATCTCAAAAAAAAAAAAAAAAAAAAAAAGCTTTATTGAGCACTCCTGAGAAAGGAGTTATTGGCTTTGTGTTATCTGCAAATCAGGTACCCCAACTTCCCTGTGAGTTCTCTTCTGAACCAGGTAGAGTGGAACATTTCTGGTGTGTCTTCCCACTGTTAGACAATGGGGTGCCACGGAGAGTCCTAAAGGAGAGGAGAGATGCAGCCAGGCTGTGCCGCACCAGCACTGGCAAGCTGGCAGCACTGAGAGGATTGGGCTGGAGAGATAGGGAGACAGGAGCTGCTGGGAAGGGGGAATGGGGCTGAACTGCACAGTGGTTAAGACTTGGGATTCTGAAGTTGGAGAGCATTGTGTTTATATCTGACCTTTACCAACTCTTAGCTATGTGCTTTGGGTAAGTAACTTGGCCTCTCTGGGACTTAGTTCCTCATCTCTAAAATTGAGGTAGTCCCAGGGTTTCCTCCTCAGGAGTGATGGGGAGGGCTGAGTTGTGGATGGGTATGAAACACTTGGGGCAGGGCCAGCAAACTCTCTTTTCTTTGAGACGAAGTTTCACTCTTATTGTCCACGTTGGAGTGCAATGGTGTCATCTCAGCTCACCACAACCTCTGCCTCCCAGGTTCAAGTGATTCCCCTGCCTCAGCCTCCCAAGTAGCTGGGATTACAGGCATACACCACCATGCCCAACTAATTTTATATTTTTAGTAGAGATGGGGTTTCTCTATGTTGGTCAGGCTGGTCTTGAACCCTGACCTCAGGTGATCTGCCCTGCCTCAGCCTCCCAAAGTGCTGGGATTACAGGCGTGAGCCACCACGCCCGGCCCTTTTTTTGGTATTTTTATCAGAGATGGAGTTTTGCCATATTGGCCAGGCTGGTCTTGAACTCCTGACCTTAGGTGATTTGCTTGTCTCAGCCTCCTAAAGTGCTGGGATTACGGGCATGAGCCACTGTACCCAGCCCTCTTTCATTTTTTGAGGCAGTGTCTTTCTCTGTTGCCCAGGTTGGAGTGTGGTGGTGTGATCTTGGCTTGCTGTAGCCTTGGCCTCCCAAGCTCAAGTGATCCTCCCGACTCAGCCTCCCAAGTAGCTGGGACTACCACGCTCAGCTAATTTTTGTATTATCTGTAGAGATGGGGTCTCACCATGCTGTTTGGGCTCAAATGGTCCACCTGCCTGGGCCTCCCAAACTGCTGCGATTACAGGCATGAGCCACTGCACCTAGCCCCAGGTCCCGTTTCTTGGTTAGGATGTAGTGTATGTGGATAGGTCCCACGTGTGAAATACCAGCAGGCTGTAGGTCATCAAGCTGCACATGTGATTTTAACTGCAAGGTGCAGACAGAATAGTCAAACTGATTGTTCTTGTTGTGTTAGGATCCTGGTGAAGAGAGCCAGCTTTAGATGCCCATTGCTGGCCTTTGGATCCAGATTACCCCTGCTAGCTGAGTGGCTGAAGGCAAGCTTAACCTCTCTCTGTGTCTCAGTTTTACTGGCTGAGAAACGAGCCTGCAGGGCTGTGAGTAGGCAATCCCTTTGTACTTCATTTGGTAAGAAAGTTGGAACCCTTCAGCATTGTTTAGATCTGCTTTATTTTGCCATTAATTAGCAAATGACATTATGTGGATTTTTTTTTTTTTTTTTTTTTTTTTTTGAGTCTGAGTCTTGCTCTGTCACCGAGGCTGGAGTGCAGTGGCACGATCTCAGCTCACTGCAACCTCCCCCTCCCAGGTTCAAACAACCCGACCTCAGGTGAACCGCCTGCCTCGGTTCACCTCCTGCCTCACCCTCTCAAGTAGCTGGGACCACAGGTGCATGCCACACCAGGTAATTTTTTTTTTGTATTTTTGGTAGAGATGGGGTTTCACCATGTTGGCCAGGCTGGTCTCGAACTCCTGACCTCAAGTGACCAACCCAACTCCGCCTCCCAAAATGCTAGGATTACGGGCATGAGGCACTGCACATGGCCTGTTTTTTTTTTTTCTAGCAAACACATTTCTAGTTGGAGTATTCTGCTTGCTTCCAGTGTTGTAAGGTACACATGAAGTGTCCAACGCGGTGTTTCGCATGCCAGCAGTCGATCAGTGCTGGCTCTTAGTACTAGTTTCTGTTTACTAAAACATCAAAGGCACTGGGCAAGAATTCCTTGGAAACCTGTTGTCTCCCCTAACCCTACCCTGTGGCAGTCGATATATGACGGGCATTTCTGAGACGGGCTTTTCTTCCTGGAATGCAATGTCAGGATGCCCCAGGCTCGGCTTTTCTGTGCGTCGTCATTACACCAACACTGGGAGCACATATTATACCACGAAGAAGACACATCTTCTGTAAAAGGAAAAAATCATAATGTCATTTGCTAACTAGCAGCAAAACAAAATGAAATGAAACACTGCCTCCTTCTGGGCCCCACCCTGAGGTTTCAAATTGCCCACCAAACAAGTTCTCAGGGCTGACGAGGTATTTGATGCCTGTAATCCCAGCACTTTGGGAGGCTGAGGCAGCCGGTTGACCTGAGGTTAGGAGTTTGAGACCAGCTTGGCCAACATGGCAAACCCCATCTCTACTAAAAATACAAAAATTAGCCAGGCATGGTAGTGCATGCCTGTAGTCCCAGCTACTCAGGAGACTGAGGAAGGAGAATTGCTCAAACCTGGGAGATGGAGGTTGCAGTGAACCAAGATGGCATCATTACACTCCAGCCTGGGCTACAGAATGAGACTCTGTCACCAAAATAAAAAAAGAGAGAGAGAGAGACTTTGCAGATGCGATTACATGAAGGCTATTGAGATGGGGGTTGGGAGGTGATCTGGGATTCATGGGATGGGCCCAATGTAATCACAAGGGAGAAACAGGAGGGTCAGCCTCAAAGGAATTGTGGCACTGGGGCAGGAGTCAGGGGTCACAGCTATGCAGCCATGAGCCAGGGAAGGCAGCAGCTTCTCAACGCTAGAAAAAGCAAGGAACAGACCTTCCTTGGAGCCCCCTGAAGGAACTAGCACTGTGGACACCTTGATTTTAGCTCTGTAATTCCCATTTCAGAATTTCTTCCAAACTCTGAGATAACAAATTTGTGTTATATAAAGCCACCAAGGGAGTGGTAAGTCGTTATGGTAGCAATAGGAAACTAACACAGGTCTAGAACCATCTGGTATATCTTCAGGTTGGTCTCAATGGACTGGTCAAGAGATTTATGCCATGACTTAGACTCTCTGCAGAATCTGGATAAGTTGGACGTTGAACACAGGTCTGATCCTCTACTGGTATGCAAGTTTGGGCATTAGGTCACCTCCTGGTTATATTAGATATCAAACGTTACTGCAGGGAGACTGAAGTGATCAATGAGGCTTCTGGAGGCAGGGCTCCCAGGACTGAACCGGGCCCTGGGGAAACCTACCCCATATATGCAGCCGTCTAGAGTAGTCCTCCACCTCTGCCCCTTCCCTGGAGGGACACAAACAGGGTGGAGGGGATGACTGATTCCTGGTCAGCACTCTGAGCTGGGTGACCCTGGGCAAGGCAATAGAATGTTTCTGAGCCTGCGTTCCCTCCTATGGAAAATGGAGCTAAGAACAGACATATGGTGTTAGCGCGTTCTGCAATGCTATAAAGGAATGCCTGAGACTGGGTGATTGATGAAGAAAAGAGGATATTTGGTTCATGGTTCTGCAGGCTGCACAGGAAGCAAGGCACCAGCATATACATGGCTCATGGTTCTGCAGGCTGCACAGGAAGCAAGGCACCAGCATCTGCATCTGTTTGGCTTCTGGCAAGGGCCTCAAGAAGCTTTGGCTCATGGCAGAAGGCAAAGGGGGACTAGGCACGTTACATGGCGAAAGAGAGAGACAGGAGGGAGGGGCGGAGCTCTTTTGAACAACCAGATCTTGCATGAACTAAAGAGTGAAAACTCACTCATCACAAGAACAGCACTAAGCCATCCCCATGACCCAAACACCTCCCCCGAGGCCCACCTGCAACATCAGAGGTTTCAACATGAGATTTGGAAGGAACAAAACACCCAAACCACAACACATACTCATCTGGCCGTATCGTTGAGTCTGGAGTGAGTAAATGTGTGTCTGAAATTATATTCCAGGTCAGGTACGGTGGCTCATGCTTGTAATCTTAGCACTTTGAAAGGCCGAGGTGGGTGGATCACCGGAGGTCAGGAGTTTGAGACTAGCCTGACCAACATAGTGAAGCCCAGTCTCTACTAAAAATACAAAAATTTGTTGGGCATGGTGGTGCGCACCTGTAATCTCAGCTGCTTAGGAGGCTGAGGCAGGAGTATCGCTTGAACCCGGGAGGTGGAGGTTGCAGTGAGCCAAGATCACACCATTGTACTCCAGTCTGGGCAACAAGAGTGAAACTCAAATACTAACAATAATAATAATAATGAATAAGTAGATAAAATTATATTTCAAATGCTAATTGTATCAGCTCTGTGTACTAAAGGAGCTTATCCTAGTGGAGTAACCACTTCCTTCCCTTAATAAAAGCCCTGCAAGGACTGACATTGACTTTAAAGCCCTGTAGAGTTGTCAGCCTGAGATTATTCTGGTTCTTCTTTTGCAGGTGAAGTTTATTACAGGAGCAAATACCTGAGAAGCGATACTTACAATGCCAATATTGAGGCAAACAGGATCGTGGTATCGGAGTTTGGAACCATGGCCTACCCGGACCCCTGCAAAAACATATTTTCCAAGTAAATGCCTCTTTTAAATCTGACGGAATTTCATGCTTCTTGCCATCCTTGATGGCTGAGAAAAGCAGCATTTGCTCCTCTAACAATTCTCTTTAGGGTGATGAAAACTCCGCATGACTGCCTTTCACCAGAAGTGCTATGCAATTCTTGATCACTGATTGCCGGAAAGGCTAAGAGCATTTCACAAATTATTAGAAGTCCTCCCACATGGCTGGTGAAAAAGCAGTTTGGAATGATCTGTCAAAATTGCAAATGCACATTCCCTTCAGCCTAGAGATTACTTGCTTGCACACAAAATGACACGTGCACCAGGTACTCGTCATTTGTGGCTGCATTATTTGTTATAACGAGTAGCTGAAAACCACCCAAATGCTCATTGAAAGAGGAGCGGTTAGATCCATAACAGTAAAACCGTACAAGAAAGTGCCATATAGAAGTAAAAAGGAATGAGGATGTCTCTATGTGCTCTACAGAAACATTTTCAAGATAGAAAAAGGAAGGTGTAGAAAGAACATGTTATAGGCTGTACTTTGTGTGAAAAAGCAGGAAGAAATCTAGATTAAATTTTGCTTGTTTATGCATAAAGAAACTATGAAAGGATGCCTAGGGGACATGGGGCAGATGAATGATGAGGAGGGGGAAATTTTTTGCTGAAATATTGTATTTCATTTTATGTATGTATGTATGTATGTATGTATGTATTTATTTATTTATTTTGAGATGGAGTTTCGCTCTTATTACCCAGGCTGGAGTGCAATGGCGCGATCTCGGCTCACGGCAACCTCTGCCTACTGGGTACAGGCAATTCTCCTGCCTCAGCCTCCTGAGTAGCTGGGATTACAGGCACGCACCACCATGCCCAGCTAATTTTTTGTACAGCACCCGGCTGTATTTATTTTTTTGATATGGAGTTCGATTCTTATTGCCCAAGTTGGAGTGCAATGGTGCAATCTCAGTTCACTGCAACCTCCATCTTCTTGGTTCAAGCAATTCTTCTGCCTCAGCCTCCTGAGTAGCTGGGATTACAGGTGCCCACCACCACACTAGGCTAATTTTTGTATTTTCAGTAGAGAGGAGGTTTCACCATGTTGGTCAGGCTGGTCTTGAACTCATGACCTCAGGTGATCCAACCACCTCCACCTCCCAAAATGCTGGGATTACAGGCATGAACCTCTGTGCCTGGCCACTGTATACGTTTTAAATTATCTGGGTTAGGATGCATATGAATGTGTTACCTATCTGACAGATTCCTGGCCAGGGAATCAGGCCAGCCATCGGTATCTTCCTTCTGAAACTCTTTAGACATAAAAGAGTTATACAAGAGTTGAAGGGTAGACTGGCCCAGAGATGGAAGCCTGCTTCTGTTTTTTTCAGTCCTGAAGTCATCTCTCCCATTCCAGCATCCAGCTCTAGGGCTGGCTCAGAGCAAGCCCTGAATCCACATTTGCAAATAGGAGGTGCAGAGCAGGAGCCGGTGAGAAAGGAGGAGGAAGGAGCAAATGAATTTAAAACCACAGTATTTGCCTGGTAGGGGAGATACCATGATCACCACTTTAAAATACTGGAACAAGGAGCCTTGGTTCCAGGATCTCCAGGTGGTGAGATCCGGGAACCAAGGCTCCTTGTTGTTCCAGTATTCCTCAGCAGGAGGAGCACTCCCCAGTACACTGATCCCGGATTTGCCAACTTCACCACCCTTAAACCCCTCTGGTTTTTCTTTCTTTCTGCTTTGAGTGTACCTTCTGATCAAATGAGCCATGTGTTCTTAACTCATAATTAGTTTGTTTTCCTTTTAAAATAAAAAACTAATTTCCTGGATAAATATGAGATAACCAGTGTGGACTCACGTTCCTGGCAAAGCAGATATCAGATGTGTTGTTAGGCTTTGGGGGCCATTGTGGGTTCCCATGTGATTTCTGTGGAGCTTCTTTTCTTTCTTTCTTTCTTTTTTTTCCCCTACAGATAGCAGTCATAGCACCGTAGAGCTTCTTGACATACTTTGGAACACTATGTCTTGCTGGCTCTGATGTTGGAGACCTTTGGGTTTTGGGGAGCCCAGGAAGGGTCAGCTGGTGACCATGGCATTCCAGCTGACTTATTTCTTAGCTGACTCAAGGTGGGGGTGTCTTTGGGGAACTTGATATCTGAGTTATTCAGATTCCTCAGGTGACCCTTTGGGAACCAGTTGCTTTTTCTTTCTTAGTTGAAGTAAAGGATCTTTAAGTGGTAGGAAAATAAAGCCATCTAGGACACAGCTCTCTGGCTGGGTGGACACAGCCACTGACTCTGTCGATTTGCTTCTCTCCCCAGAGCTTTCTCCTACTTGACTCACACCATCCCCGATTTCACGGACAACTGCCTGATCAACATCATGAAGTGCGGAGAAGACTTCTATGCAACCTCAGAGACCAATTACATCAGGAAGATCAACCCACAGACTCTGGAAACGCTGGAGAAGGTATCGACACACATGTAACCAGCATTACTTCCTGACTCAAGAAAGGGAGAGCTGGGGATGCCCAGGGCGAGGCTGCTCAGCCTGCAAGGAGCTCACCAGAGGCCCCTCCTCTAATGCCGTTGGATCCCAAGCCCTAGCACCACACTTAGCACTAGGTGCTAGGCAGGGACTGTGTTGTTTTTATCTTCATGTCTATATCCATAACCTGAGGCTGCTGTAACCAAGTCCTACAAAAAAGTTTTCTTAAAACGATAGAAACTGGCCAGGTGCAGCGGCTCACATCTGTAATCCGAGCACTTTGGGAGGCCGAGGCAGGCAAATTACCTGAGGTCAGGAGTTCAAGACCAGACTGACCAGCATGGTGAAACCCCATCCCTGCTAAAAATACAAAAAATTAGCTGAACGTGATAGCACATGCCTGTAATTCCAGCCACTCGGGAGGCTGAGGCAGGAGAATCGCTTGTACTCAAGAGCTGAAGGTTGCAGTGAGCTGAGATCACACCATTGCACTCCAGCCTGGGCAACAAGAGCAAAACTCCATCTCAGAAAAAAATAAAAATTAAAAAATAACCAGTAACAACAGAAATTGGCTGGCACAGTGGCCTACACCTGTAATCCCATCACCTTGGGAGGCCAAGACAGGCTGATCCTGAGAGCAGGAGTTCGAGACCCACCTGGCCAACATGGTGAAACCCCGTCTCTACTAAAGATACAAAAAATTAGCTGGGTGTCTTGCCTGCTTGAAATCCCAGCTACTCTGGAAGCTGAGGCAGGAGAATTGCTTAAACCCAGGAGGCAGAGGTTGTGGTGAGCGGAGATCACACCACTGCACTCAAACCTGGGTGGCAGAGCAAGACTCTGTCTCAAAAAAAAAAAAAAAGACTCTATTTCCAAGTAAGGTCACATTCGCAGGTACCTGGGGGCAAGGACTTCAACCTAACTTTTTGCAAGACACAATTCAACCCATAAGTGTGTTCATAATTCTCGGCATGGGGGAGTTTAGTGAGAATTTAAATGAATGACTCTGTTGTAACACCTGGGATTCCCAACAATTCTACCTTCTATTGACCTGAAGAGGGAGGCATTAGGCAAAAAGCTAGGACACAAAAACAAGTGCCCTGGCACATATCTTTCCTGGGAAGAATCAAGTTGACATTTTGGTGAAAATCAATAGACCCATTTTCCATTTTCTCCAGCTGGCTGTTCAAAACTCCGATGTCTTTGCAATACGTTTTAACCATCTGTTAAAGAGATGCGGCTTTTCTTAGCTGTGAAATTATGTCCAGCTCTTTTTAAGCGAGGCGGCGTCAGTCCAGCTGATGACGCTTTCCACAAGGCCACTGAGAGGAAATGCTGGGAGAGGATGGAGTTACCTGAATCTGGGCTGGAGGTTGTGCTATTCTGGGGGAGGAAGGGCAGATGGTTGGTCTCCAGCCACTCCATTGTTCTGCCCGTTCTGCAGCTGCAGACTCTGGAATGAGGGTTATTATTCAGCTCGTTCATCGAGCTTTGCTTTGACCTGATGTTTTTGTAACCTCTCCGTTCCCAGAATAATCCTATAAGAGAGGCTTAGAGATTTATGCTTCTGTGCAATGCAAAAGGGCAGAATTTAAGCCAGAATGCCAGAGCTGTGGCCAGGATTAGCTCAAAGGCTACCTCTCTGCCCAGGTCATTGCTCAGAGCTTTCTGCAGTGAGGAATCTTGTTTCCATGTTGAGGACGCCAACAGGGTCAGGCAGCAGGATTGGAACGATAGCCACAGAAGCACACCAGCTCCCTAACTCCTCTGCAATCTGTTTGGTGTTGGAGCCCCTCACATCCCCCCATGTGAGGTTATATCAGGTCGCAAGAGTAAAAGTCTTCTTTAAAAGCAAATTCTGTATCATTTTCAGATCCAGAGATGTGCAAAAATTTCTCTCATCTCTATAAACCTAGAGTCAGGGTTTCAGAGGATTTCAACCTTTCTCCTTTTACAAACCAGGTGTCATATCTTGCAGGTTGATTATCGTAAATATGTGGCAGTAAATCTGGCAACATCACATCCCCATTACGATGAGGCTGGAAACGTTCTCAACATGGGCACATCCATTGTGGAAAAGGGGAAGACAAAATACGTGATTTTTAAGATCCCTGCTACAGTACCAGGTAGGCCATTCTGGGGAATAGAATTAAACACAAGCAGCCAAGGGCGGCTCCTTCTGAAGAGTTGTGTGTTTTTTGTTGATGACACAAGACTCAGAGTGGTTCCTTCCTCTCTAGATTATTCAGGTGACAGTGAACTCAGTACTTTCCTGTAGGAGAAAAGAGGAGTTGCTAGGATTCCTCTTGGAAAAAGGAAATCCCTTTTCTATTCTAATCTCCTTTTATTTAGGCTCCAGTTTATTATTTTATTAATTTATCCACCCATCTCCCATCCATCCATTCATGTATCATCTACTTACCATGCATCCATCCATTCATGCATCTATTCACCATCCATCTACTATTCTCTTATCTAGTCACTATCCATCCACCCATCCACCCCCTATTCATCCATGTATCCATCACCCATCCACTGTCTGTGTATCCATCCACCAATCCACCACTTATTTAGCCAGCTACCCACCATTTATCCACTTGCCATCATCTATCCACCCATCCACCATCCACCTACCCACCCACCCGCCATCCATCCACCATCAATCTACCCACCCATCCACCCACCACCATGAATCCATTTATCCATCTACCCATTCTCCCATCCATCCATCATCCACTTGCCCACCACCCACCCATCCATTGAGCCACCCACCTATCCATCCATCATCCATCCATCTATCCACCATCCATCCACCCATAATCCATCTATTTATCTACCCAGCATCCATCCATCTACCCATCCACTAACCATCCATTCCCCCACCCAACATCTATCCATTTATTCCCCATCTATTAACCCACCATCCTTCCATTTACCATCTATCCATCCACCCATGATCCATCCATCTATCCACCCATCCATGCACCCACCCACCCATCTATCAATTCATTCATCCATCCGTTTTTTCAGCATCCTGCCAAACAATGGCATGGTTTTGCCACCTACTTTCATTGCCAGCCCCTACAGCCAGGGTTCCAGGGTTGTTCAGGGAACTCAGCCCTGCTGGGATCCATTCCAGATCCCCACCCTGTTCTCCACGCCTTCTGGACCTTCTCCATATGGAGCTGGGATCTTGGAGCCAAGCCCAGGCTGACTGCGATTGCATGATCCTAAGGGGGAGGAAGCAGGGGTTCTTAGTCCATGTTTGCACAGGATCCTCCTGGGAACCACACCCAGGAGACTTAGACCTGTGAAGGCAGCTGCACAAGACTCAGCATACAGTGCAGAACTACAACGATCCTTCATCTGATCTTCAGGTTTAGAAAAAACAAGTTTTTGTCTGTGATCCTTGCTGCCTCCATATCCCCCAGTCTTGAAGAACCCCCTGAGCAAATTACCAGGCTCTGCCTGGAGTGGTGAGACTCCAAGGTCAGACAGTACCCTGAGTATACTTGTTAAATAGAACTCTGATTCATTAATCCAGTAAAGGGATATAAGGGTCAAGCTCAGAATCCTAGAATGTCAGACCTGGGGCTTATCTAGGAATTTGAGTTTGCCACCTTGTATTACAGAGGAGGACTGTGAGGCTCAGGGGATCAGGTGACACACCCCAGTCACACAGCTCCCAGGAGTCACTGACATCCTGCCAGCAGCGATCCTCTGGGCACCTGCTCCATGTTGGCGGTGGCATGAGGACTCAAGCCCCATCCTGCTCCTCCCAGGCCACGGCGCTTTTTGTTTCAGTTTGCATTGAGTTCCAGTTGTTTTATGAAGAAAAGAACTATCCCACAACCCCACAGCATCCCTCCCACCAGCCAGCTGTATACAGTGTACACAGGTGGCCACGGAGAGGTGGAGATGTTTGCAGATAACTCATTATAAGCCAGCCCCAGGCCTGGGTGGGAGGCCTTTTGGCCAGTGAGTGACTCATGCTCGCAGAGGAATAAGAAAACTGTACGAGTACTGAGCGCCTTCCGTGTTTGGGTGCAGGAAGAGGTACTTGGATGACTGCTTTATTTTACTCTGTTCTCTGCCTTCACTCTATGAGGAAGGCTAAGGGGTCTGTGTTTTCTTGGCTTAACCCCGTGACTGACCATAATGATAGCCCATTCCGCTAAGCCTCAGTTTTCCATCTATAAAATGGCCATCCTACGGCCTAGCTTGACTATATATAAAAGCCCCTCATCACGGCTGGGCACAGTGGTTCACACCTGTAATCCTAGCACTTTGGGAGGCAAAGGTGGGTAGATCACAAGACCAGGAGTTCAAGACCAACCTCACCAACATGGTGAAACCCCATCTCTACTAAAACAAAAATTAGCCCAGCGTGGTGGCATGCGACTGTAATCCCAGCTACTCAGGAGGCTGAGGCAGGAGAATCACTTGAACCCAGGAGGCAGAGGTTGCAGTGAGCTGAGATTGCTCCACTTCAGTCCAACCTGGGCAACAGAGCAAGACCCTGTCACACACACACACACAAAAACCTCTTCACAATAGGTACTTAGTCCCATGCCCAGGTGTTTTAGAATGGGCACTACCAAGAGAAATTTGTGGAAACCCTATGAACGTACATGTCAAATGATCATTCCCAGCAAAACGGCAAACGCTTAGGCCTGGGAAACTTACCCATCACCTGGGAGCTTCATAGAAATGCAGAATCTGAGACCGCACCCCAGCAGAGTCAAACCCCACAGTGTATCAGGATCCCCAGATGACTCCTAAGCACATTAAAGTTTGGGGTGTACTGCCCCAGAGGAGAGGTCAGGAAACAGGGCCAGATCATAAATATTTAAGGCTCTGAGGACAATATGGCCTCTGCCACAGCTCAACTCTGTCTCTGGAGCTCAAAAGCAAAAGTAGCCATAGACAATGCCCAAAGGAGGGTGCATGCCACATACCAAATAAAGCTTTGTTCACAGGCCGGGCATGGTGGCTCACACCTGTGATCTCAGCACTTTGGAAGGTCAAGGTGGGTGGATCATCTGAGGTCAGGAGTTCAAGACCAGCCTGGCCAACATGGCTAAACCCCTTCTCCACTAAAAATACAAAAATTAGCTGGGCCTGGTTGTGTGAACCTGTAATACCAGCTACTCTAGAGGCTGAGGCAGGAGAATCGCTTGAACTCAAGAGGTGGATGTTGCAAAGAGTTGAGATTGCACCACCGCATGCCAGCCTGGGCAACAGAGCGAGTTTCCATCTCAAACAAACATACAGGTGGAGGCAGGAGTCAGCCCCCAGACTGTAGTTGAAGACCCCTGACCTGGAGGCCTCCCTCTGCGTTCAGTGGTTTTCAGATTGTAGATGGGGTAGGTGCCCAGTGGAAGTTCTCAGCCTGGTCCCCTGCAGCAGCCACAGCAGCCCCAGCAGCAACCACGTTACCTGTCTACACGTTGCTGCTTAATTAGGTGTTCTTTTCAGCCATCAGGTCAAGTTGTAAGTGATGGTGTGGTCTTGGGGGGCCGGCCAGGTCCTGCACAATTCCTGAGGCTTGCTTTTCATCTCGCTAGAGGGTAAGAAGAAGGGGAAGAGCTCCTGGAAGCACACGGAGGTGTTCTGCTCCATCCCGTCCCGCTCCCTGCTCTCCCCAAGCTACTACCACAGCTTTGGTGTCACCGAGAACTATGTCATCTTCCTCGAGCAGCCTTTCAGGTTGGATATTCTCAAGATGGCAACCGCGTACATCCGGGGAATGACCTGGGCCTCCTGCCTGGCTTTCCACAGGGAGGAGAAGGTGAGGCCTGGCTGGACTCCAGCCCAGTGGGTGCTGGCTGCCCGCAGAGGGAGGCCAGCATGCAAGAGGGTGGAAGTTAAGGGAAGGAAGTGGCATGGAAGAGGGAGGAGGGTACCAGAGGCATCTGCCTACCTTTCCATGAGTTCTGGTCCTTCAGAATGGCCCCCAGGCCTTTGTACCCCCACGGTAATGAGTCATCAGATGCAGACTGTCCAGGCAAGGGGGACAACCGTGGAAGCCTTGGCAGTCCCCACATGCCCAGCAGCAAAAGGAGTGAGTCCTCAGTCCTGATGGAGAGCTGGGCTCCTTCCAGCCACCGCCCTGCCGAGAAGACCCCTTCAGCATGTCTGCTCCCAGCATGTAACATTGGGGTGTTAGGTGCCAGAGGTTTAGGCATTGTAAGGGCAGCATGTTCCACCAGACGATTCAACAGAAACCTCTCCTTCCATTCAGGTACACCTGAGTGCTCAAAGTATGTATATATGTATTACATGCTTGTATATGCATGTATGTGTACATGTACATATGTATGTGTGTATGTGTATAAATATGTGTACATATGCATGTGTGTATGTATTTTGTATTTGTTGGGTGTGTGTGTGTGTGTGTGTGTGTGTGTGTGTGTGTGTGTGTGTATGGGGGGGTGTTTTTGTGGTACGATCACAGCTCACTGCAGCCTCAGGCTCCTAGGCTCAGAAGATCCTCCCACCTCAGCCCCCCCAGTAGCTGGGACCACAGGCACATGTCACTGTGCTTGGCTAATATTTTGTTTTTCTGTAGAGATTGGAGTCTTGCTATGTTGACCAGGCTAGCTTCAAACTCTGGGCTCAAGTGATCCTCCTGCCTTGCCGGGATTACAGGTGTGAGCCACTGTACTTGGTCATATATATATATAGTTATTTCAATTTTGAAAAATATCCAGTAGTTCTTAGTGTTACCTATTCAAAGAATATACAAGTATAGAAAGCCATATACACAATCCTCCTTAACTCACTTTTCCCCATCTCTCCTCTGCCTCCCATCCACCCCAGTGTCAGAAGGGACCCACCACTACTTGCTGACCTCTCCTACTCCACCTTCTCTGCCTTCACGTGCACTTTTAGGTTTTCTTTCTTTCTTTCTTCCTTTCTTTCTTTCTTTCTTTCTTTCTTTCTCTCCTTCCTTCCTTCCTTCTTTCTTTTTCTTGAGACAGAGTCTCACTCCGTCACCCAGACTGGAGTGTAGTGGTGCAATATCTGTTCACTGCAACCTCCACCTTCTGGGTTCAAGGTAGTCTCCTCTTTCAGCCTCCCAAGTAGTTGGGATTACAGGCATGCGCCACCATGCCTGACTAATTTTTGTATTTTTAGTAGAGACGGGGTTTCACCATGTTGGTCAGGCTGGTCTCAAAGTCTTGACCTTAGGTGATCCACCCGCCTCGGCTTCCCAAAGTGCTGGGACTTTGGGCTTGAGCCAACTCGCCCAGCCTAACTTTTATATTTTTAGTAGAGAGGGGTTTCACCATGTTGGCCAGGCTGGTCTCAAACTCCTGGCCTCAAGTGATCTGCCCACCTCGGCCTCCCAAAGTGCTGGGATTACAGGGGTGAGGCACTGTGCCCTGCCCTTCATGTACATTTTCATATACACATCCACACATTTGTCCCCCCGGCCTCTCTCTTTCAAGCCTCTCTTCCCTTCTCAGGGAAAAGAGTGAGGTGGTTAAGAGAACAAAGGAGGCCGGGCGCGGCGGCTCAAGCCTGTAATCCCAGCACTTTGGGAGGCCGAGGTGGGTGGATCACAAGGTCAACAGATCAAGGTTGTAATCCCAGCTACTCGGGAGGCTGAGGCAGGAGAATTGCCTGAACCCAGGAGGCGGAGGTTGCGGTGAGCCGAGATCGCACCATTGCACTCCAGCCTGGGTAACAAGAGCGACACTCCGTCTCAAAAAAAAAAAAAAAAAAAAGATGACAAAGGAGTGAGGGGACAGGTGAGGTCCCTCTTCTGCTCGGGACCTTCTAGAGGGTTCTCATCTTCCCCAGGATAAGATCCAAAGGCTTCCTTTACCAAAGTCTGTCCCCCGCACGCCCTCGTCCTGACCACTTGCTCTCTGTTCCCTCCACACCTCTTCCTGGATCACAGAGTGGCCGAACACACTCTGGCCTCAGAGCCTTTGCATTTGCTGCCCCCTCTACCTGGAATAATGCTCTCCCCTCCACCTGGAATAATGCGCTCCCTCTACCTGGAATAATGCTCTCCCCTCCACCTGGAATAATGCTCTCCCCTCCACCTGGACTGATGCGCTCCCCTCCACCTGGACTGATGCTCTCCCCTCCACCTGGACTGATGCGCTCCCCTCCACCTGGACTGATGCTCTCCCCTCCACCTGGAATAATGCTCTCCCCTCCACCTGGACTGATGCGCTCCCCTCCACCTGGACTGATGCGCTCCCCTCCACCTGGACTGATGCGCTCCCCTCCACCTGGAATAATGCTCTCCCCTCCACCTGGAATAATGCTCTCCCCTCCACCTGGACTGATGCGCTCCCCTCCACCTGGAATAATGCTCTCCCCTCCACCTGGACTGATGTTCTCCCCTCCACCTGGACTGATGCTCTCCCCTCCACCTGGACTGATGCGCTCCCCTCCACCTGGACTGATGCTCTCCCCTCCACCTGGACTGATGCGCTCCCCTCCACCTGGACTGATGCGCTCCCCTCCACGCGGACTGATGCTCTCCCCTCCACCTGGACTGATGCTCTCCCCTCCACCTGGAATAATGCTCTCCCCTCCACCTGGAATAATGCTCTCCCCTCTACCTGGAATAATGCTCTCCCTCCACCTGGACTGATGCTCTCCCCTCCACCTGGAATAATGCTCTCCCCTCCACCTGTAATAATGCTCTCCCCTCTACCTGGAATAATGCTCTCCCCTCCACCTGGACTGATGCGCTCCCCTCCACCTGGAATAATGCGCTCCCCTCCACCTGGAATAATGCTCTCCCCTCCACCTGGACTGATGGGCTCCCCTCCACCCGGACTGATGCTCTCCCCTCCACCCGGACTGATGCGCTCCCCTCCACCTGGACTGATGCTCTCCCCTCCACCCGGACTGATGCGCTCCCCTCCACCCGGACTGATGCGCTCCCCTCCACCCGGACTGATGTGCTCCCCTCCACCTGGAATAATGCTCTCCCCTCCACCTGGACTGATGCTCTCCCCTCCACCTGGACTGATGCTCTCCCCTCCACCTGGACTGATGCGCTCCCCTCCACCTGGAATAATGCTCTCCCCTCCACCTGGACTGATGCTCTCCCCTCCACCTGGACTGATGCGCTCCCCTCCACCTGGACTGATGCGCTCCCCTCCACCTGGAATGATGCACTCCCCCACCCCATGGCTTCCTCCCCAGTTGATCTAGTTTCGGTTCAGCGCCCAGGTCTCCCAGCCTTCCTTGCCGGACCTGTCTGTGATAGACCCCGCCCCAGGATTTCCCCACCTCCATCATGCCTGACATCTTATCTATTGGATATTTGTTTTTGACTTTGCCTCCAGTAGCATGTAAGCTCCATAAAAGTAGGGGCTTGGAATTATTTGTCCCTCTGGTTCCTAAAGAAATATCTCAGCCAGGCATGGTGGCTCATGCCCATAATCCCAGCACTTTGGGAGGCTGAGGCAAGTGGATCGCCTAAGGTCAGGAGTTCGAAACCAGCCTGGCCAACATGGTGAAACCCTGTCTCTACTCAAAATACAAAAATTAGCCAGGCATGGTGGCAGGCATCTGTAATCCCAGCTACTTGGGAGGCTGAGGCATAAGAATCTCTTGAACCCAGGAGGTGGAGGTTGCTGCGAGCTGAGATCATGCCACTGCACTCCAGCCTGGGTGACAGAGGGAGACTTTGTCTCAAAAAAAAAAAAAAAAAAGGCAGGCACAGTGGCTCACACCTGTAATCCCAGCCCTTTGGGAGGCTAAGGTGGGCAGATCACTTGAAGTTGGGAGTTTGAGACCAGCCTGACCAACATGGAGAAACCCCATCTCTACTAAAAATATAAAATTAGCCAGGCATGGTGGTGCATGCCTGTGATCTCAGCTACTCTGGAGGCTGAGGCAGGAGAATTTTGAACTTGGGAGGTGGAGGGTACAGTGAGCCAAGATGGCACCATTGCACTCCAGCCTGGGCAACAAGAGTGAAACTGCATCTCAAAAAAATATAAAAGAAATGTCTGATGATCGTAGGCCCTCGATAAGTATTTGTGGAATGAATACGTAGAGCCTACCAGTCGCCAGCTGGAACTGAGTTTGCTCTGCAGCGGTTTCCCCAAATATCGCTGGGTGCTTTCCCCCGGCAGGAGCTATGGGGCCCTCTAAGCCTCCAAAGTGCACCCCCAGTCTTCGGAGAGTGCCATGTGTCCAGCTACAGCCTGCAGTGGCAGGGCGATGGCCTGGGAAAGCCTGTGCAATGCATCTAGAAGAGAACTTTCTGAAAAGTCCACGTGGCTGGCCCTGGCATAAGGGTCAGGGGTTGAAAAGGGCCATCACCCCTATTTTCACCTCTCCATCCTGACCACCACCACCAAACCATCAAAGCCTTCTTCCTCTGCACCCTCTTGCTCTGAACACCCGAAGCTTGATTCTGGGGAAGGGGGAAGGTGGGAAGCTAGACCACAGGAGGGGGCAAGAGAGCAGTGTGGGGCAGGCCTCCCTTCCTTTCAGAAGTGGGGCGTGGCCAGACCAGTGCGAGGGCAAGCACATAAACACCCCCCTCCTGATGAGGCAACTTGGGCTGTAGATATGGCGAACTGCCAGCCCAGTGATGCTGGTCTCGTGACACCCAAAGAGGTATGTCTGGAGCCTAATACACTGACCCTCCCTATGCGCTCATTAGCTGGAGCTGGGGCCACTGCACCTGCAGCCCTCTGGGACAAACAGGGTTGCTGTGACAAGGGCCTCTTGGAAAACAGGAAAGAAACAGAAAGCAGTCTCTGTAGTGGAGACCAGAGGACGAGACCCAAGAGGGTTGGGGTTGGGTTAGGGTTTTAGAGGTTTCAGTCTTTTCTTCTTCTTCTTCTCCTCCTCCTCCTCCTCCTCCTCCTCCTCCTCCTCCTCCTCCTCGTCCTCCTCCTCCTCCTCGTCCTCCTCCCTCCTCTTCTTCTTCTTCTTCTTCTTCTTCTTTTTTTTTTTTTTTTTTTTTTTCTTCTTCTTCTTCTTCTTCTTCTTCTTCTTCTTCTTCTTCTTCTTCTTCTTCTTCTTCTTCTTCTTCCTTTCTTCTTCTTCTTGATGGAGATTTGCTCTTGTCACCCAGGCTGGAGTGCAATGGCATGTTCTTGGCCCATTGCAACCTCCATCCCCCAGTTTCAAGAGATTCTCCTGCCTTAGCCTCCCGAGTAGTTGGGATTACAGGCACATACCACCACGCCTGGCTAATTTTTTATATATTTAATAGAGGGTTGTGCCATGTTGGCCAGGCTAGTCTCGAACTCCTGGCCTCAAGTGATCTGCCTGCCTCGGCCTCCCAAACTGCTGGAATGACAAGTGTGAGCCACTGTGGAGCCTGGTACCTGACAGATTCTTCCCAACTTGGTTATTTCCAGAGAGCTGGGATGTCAGCATAATGGAACAAGCAGACCGTGTACACTGGGAGTCTCTCCAAATACCATCCTCCCGGTGGCTGCAGAGACCCTGGCAGCAATTCCTCCTCTCCACCTTAAAGATCTATTCATGGAGCCAGGAGTAGTGGCTGAAGCCTGTAATCCCAGCACTTTCGGAGGCTGAGGCAGGTGAATTGCCTGAGCTCAGCCTGGGCAACATGTTGAAACCCTGTCTCTACTAAAATGCAAAAAACCAGCCGAGTATGGTGATGGGCGCCTGTTGTCTCAGCTACTGGGGAGGCTGAGGCGGGAGAATCACTTGAACCTGGGAGGGAGAGGTTGAAGTGAGCCCAGATCAAACCACTGTACTCCAGCCTGGTGACAACAACACTCCATCCTCCCCACCCACCTCCAAAAAGACATACGGAAATACAACAATAAACAGCTCTCATTTTGGGGGGCACTTTTACCTCTCTGGTTTTGTGGAGCAGACAGAATGCAGAATGGGGACATAGTCCTGAGCCTACTGCCTAGTGAGGCTAGGTTCTGTTCAGTCCCCAGATGCCATAGTGCCAGGATGAGAGAGGGCGAGCTGACCCCTGGGTGTGTGTCCTTTTTCAGACTTACATCCACATCGTCGACCAAAGGACCAGGCAGCCTGTGCAGACCAAGCTCTACACAGACCCCATGGTGGTCTTCCATCACGTCAACGCCTACGAGGAGGATGGCTGCATCGTGTTTGACGTCATTGCCTACGAGGATAACAGTCTCTACCAGCTCTTCTACCTGGCCAACCTGAACCAGGACTTCCAGGAGAACGCCAAGCTCACCTCGGTCCCCACCCTCAGGAGGTTTGCCGTGCCTCTCCATGTGGACAAGGTAATGGCTTCCAAGGAGATTTCCTTTTTTTCGAGAGATGTGGGCCCAGGTGGGAAGTTACTTTGGCTCTTATTGGATTGACATTGAAATGCAAAATGAACTGTTCTTGAGTAAAGAAAGTGTTCATTGTTTTTCCCAAAGTAGTACTGATTCATAATAAAAACTTTAGGAAACAGGGGTAAGTGAAAAGAAAAAAAAAATCCCTGTAAACTCACCACCCAAGATGATCATGGTGGATATATATGTGTTTGTCTACTGGTCTCTCTCTCTGTCTCTGTGTGTGCATGTGTGTGTGTGTAAAAATCTTCATTTTAAACTTACTGTACATAATGTTTTTAAATAGAGACGGGGTTTCACCATGTTGGTCAGACTGGTCTCAAACACCTGACCTCAGGTAATCCACCTGCCTTGGCCTCCCAAAGTGCTGGGATTACAGGCATGAGCCACTGCACCCAGCCATCGTACATAATTTTTAACAGCTTTATTGAGATGTAATTGACATAGCATACAACTTGCCCTGTTATTTATTTATTGTGACAGGGTCTCACTCTGTCACCCAGGCTGGTGTGCAGTGGCATGATCTAAGCTACCCCCCCACACACACACACACCACCTTCTGGGTTTAAGTGATTCTCCTGTTTCAACCTCCTGAATAGCTGGGATTAGAGGCACCTGCCACCACACCTGGCTAATTTTTGTATTTTTAGTAGAAAAGGGGTTTTGCCATGTTGGCCAGGCTAGTCTTGAGCTCCTGACCTCAGGTGATCCACCCACCTTGGCCTCCCAAAGTGCTGGGATGACAGGGATGAGCCACCACACCCAGTCTAATTTGCCCATTTAGTGTTCGGTGGCCTTTGGTACATTTTCACAGTTGTACATCTGCCACCACAATCAATTTTAGAACATTTTCATCACCTCCAAAACACACTCCACGCTCCTTAGCCGTCACCTCCTAGTCCTCCCCTCCCCCATCCCAGGCAAACTCCCATCTGTTGTCTGTCTCTGTGGACTTGCCTTTCCTAATCATCCCACATAAATGGAGTCTTTCAATAGGTGGGCCTTCGTGTCTGGCTTCTTTCACATAGCACAGTGTTGTCGAGGCTCATCTGTGTTGTAGTCTGGATCTGTGCTGCTTTTATTTTTGTTGCTGTTGTTGCTTTGTTGCTGGTTTGTTTTGAGACAGAGTCTAGCTGTGCCGCCCAGGCTGGAGTGCGGTGGTGTAACCTCAGCTCACTGCAACTTCTGCCTCCCAGATTCAAGCAATTCTTGTGCCTCGGCCTCCCAAGTAGCTGGGATTACAGATGTGCACCACCACACATGGCTGATTTTTGTATTTTTAGTAGAGATGAGGTTTCGCCATGTTGCCCAGGCTGGTCCCAGTCTCCTGAGCTCAGGCAATCTGCCTGCCTCCGTCTCCCAGAGTGCTGGGATTACAGGCATGAACCACCACGCCCAGTCAGTACTTTATTTCTTTTTATGGCTGAATAGGTATATAGTATCTTGCAGACTCCTTTTCTACCTATTTCTATATCTAAACATCTCTCTGTGATGTTAAATATTCTTTGAAACATCTTTTTAAATATTTGCCTAATTGTTGATGGCAGGGATTCATCCCCATTTGCTTACACCATTCCTGGCTGTTGGAAAGCTCCATTCTTGCACTAAGAATGACCACCTGCCAGACATGATCTTCAATTAGGGTGATGTGGCCAAGGCTCTGGGCTTGACTTAGGGAGGCTTACAAAGGCTTCTGGCTGCAGAACTCACTGACTTCATGACTTAATTAACTTAAATGAAACCAAATTCAATTCAATTAAATGTTGATGGCTGACATTGACTAAATGCATGTTATATGCCAGGTACTTTGCTAAGCATTTTGTTTTTCTTACCTCACTTAATGATCAAAACAACCTGTGGGAAATGTTCCTGTAGAAGCCTCGGTTTACAGATGGACAAACCGAAGTTCAGAGAAATCCAGAAATGTGCCCAAGGTCACACAGTTAGAGTGGCAAAGCCAAGACTGGAACCTGCCCCGGTCTGTCTCTAAACCCCCTTTTTATTTTATTTTATTTATTTATTTTGAAATGGAGTCTCACTCTGTCACCCAGGCTGGAGTGCAGTGGTTTAATCTCAGTTTACTGCATCCTCTGCCTCCTGGGTTCAAGAAATTCTCCTGTCTCAGCTTCCCAAGAATCTGGGATTATAGGCGCGCACCAGCATGCCCAGCTAATTTTTTGTTTGTTTGTATTTTTAGTAGAGACAGGGTTTTACCATGTTGGGCTGGCTAGTCTGGAACTCCTAACCTCAGGTTATCTGGCTTCCCAAAGTGCTCAGATTACAGGCATGAGCCGCCAGGGGCCCTAAAACCCTGTTTATAACTAGGGAGGAGTAGTTAAAAAGTATACAAAGTAGTAAAAGGTATACAAATTGTACAAAGGAAGGAGTAGTTACAAACTATTCTCTATTCTGCTGTTCTCCCCAGTAGCCCTAACTCCTAGGAAAGAGCCTCAGAGTAACCAGGAGGGAGTCGTTACAAAGTATACAAAGTAAACTAATTAGTTACAAAGGGGAAGTTACAAACTATTCTCTATTCTGCTGTTCTCCCCAGTAGCCCTAACTCCTAGGAAAGAGCCTCAGAGTAACCAGGAGGGAGTCGTTACAAAGTATACAAAGTAAACTAATTAGTTACAAAGGGGTAGTTACAAGCTATTCTCTATTCTGCTATTCTCCTCAGTAGCCCTAACTCCTAGGAAAGAGCCTCAGATGGGCCACACTTGGGGCTCTGCAGGCTTGGCAGATGGTCCTTCAGTATCCCGGGAGCCTTCTGCCACCCTCACCACCCAGTTTCCCAGTGCGGGAATTCAGTCACACTCCCAGCCACAAGGCAGGGGAGCTGGCATTAGAACCTAGGTTTGTCTGACTCCAGAGCTGGGGTCCTCTCCCATCTCTCCAGCATTTTCCCACCCATGGTCATTTGTGTATCTCTGCCACGGTTTTTACTATATTTTATATCACCTCTACTTAACATTTAAAATCCTTTTTTTGTTTTTTGGTTTGTTTCAATCAATTCACTCTCTACTTAACTCATTTGAAAGGAAACACATCACCACCCAGTGGAAAGCTGGCAATGCTCACTGCACTCAGAGAAGACAAGCCTGAGATGAAGAAAATAGAAATAAAGCAGAGGTCTTGCGCTCCAGCCAGAGTGCTGTGGCTTGCCAAGACCTGATCTCTCTGTGAAAAAGAAAAGTTTTTAAAAAGTATTAGGCGTTAAAAACATTGTAGCACCTCACTGACACTCCCCTTAACCTAGTCAGACTGGAAGAGAATAAGGCATTGAATTTCTTCCCCATGTGACTCAGGGCTATTGGATGAAGAGCCATGTCCCATGAAATCAGCACACCAGCCTTGGGCCCTTGCACCCCTTGCTCCCAGGAGCACCACAGTGCAGCCCCTCGGACTGTCTCCTGGTTCCAGGAAGTCCTGAGGGCATGACAAGGCACAGAGGTAATAAGTCACAAGGCTGGCCTCAGCCCAGGAATGGTACACAGAGAGGAACACCCCCCTCCCACTGCGACACCTTGCTAGGGTTTTATAACCTTTTATCACACCTGAGAATGGTTTGCTTCCTTGGAACCAAGCTGAGAATGTTATAGCTTGTTTATCTTTAAAAGTCATCACGTGGTCAGGCACAGTGGTTCCCACCTGTAATCCCAACACTTTGAGAAGCCCAGGTGGATGATCACCTGAGGTCAGGAGTTCAAGACCAGCCTGGCCAACATGGTGAAACCCCATCTCGACTAAAAACACAAAAATTAGCTGGGCATGGTGGCAGCTGCCTATAATCTTAGCTACTTGGGAGGCTGAGGCAGGAGAATCCCTTGAACCCAGGAGGTGGAGGCTACAGTGAGCCAAGATCGTGCCACTGCATCCAGGCTAGACAAGACAGAGTGAGACTCCATCTAAAAATAAAATAATAAAGCAGTCGTGTGAACCATCTGCTGCTTTGAAACTAGCAAAGGAAAGCAAGCCCTGGGCTGGGTCGCTCTGACCATGCTTTTTAATTGCTACTTATTGTCCCTTAAACATGTCTTCTTATTGCACTTTCAAGTGGCATATTGAAATCAAAAAGTCAGGCAGGCAGACAGGGCCTTACATGCCCAGATCCAGCGGCTCTGGCTCCATCCCATGCAAACGTTTATCAGAGAAGTAACCTCAGGGAGATGCTGGCCTTACTCAGATGCCCTCTGGGCCTGAGGTCTTTGTGACATTGCTGTCCCCTCTGCCAGCAACCCTGTCCTCCTGGGCTGATACTCCTGCTCCCCTGCCTGCCTGCATGTTGGGATCCCCCTAGAGATCCCTGAGACCCCAGTGTCTGGGCCTTGGCTTCAGCCCAGACCATGGAAGCCAGCAGCTCCAGGGGTGGAGCCCAGGCCCAGCTGTGGTGTAGACCACCCCACTCCCACCCCCGATTCTGCTGTGCAGTTGTGGGAGAGAACCTTGAGGTTGGGGCTCAGCAGCATGACCCGGCAGGTGAGTCTGTATCCTCTAATGGTGCCTTGTAGCTCCTCCTCAACATTTATTTCAAGTGGAAGTAACTTGTTCGTATCCCTCTTTCTGTTCAAGCCTAAGCTCCGAGAGGACAGGACTCTGTCTCATCAGCAGTTCATCTGCTGCACTCAGAGGGTGCTCTTAAATATTTGAAATGAATGAATGAATGATGAATACATGAAAAATGTGGAACAAGGTCTTTAAAAGGGCACAGCATCTTCCTTTAGCCTTTGGAACTCGTCCCAAGTGAAAAGTGCTTCCCACATAGAACAGGCAATAGCAAATTCTATTTAAAAGGCCAGGAGGTCCCAAGTGTCCCAGATTCTCTTGCTCTGGGACTGGCTGGGGTCAAAGGAAGGTGGGGCCAGCAGGGCCTCTGGGCACTGCAGGCCTGTTTATGCAGAGCAGTGCGGGGGGTGCCCAAGGCAGGGCTCAGCAGGGGCAGGGAG